CCCACACACACACACACACACACACACCACACCACACACCACACCCACTCTAAACACCAACACACACATAAAACCACACACACCACACACACACACCACCACACACACACACACCCCACACAACACCACACACACACACACACCACTAACATAACACACACACTAACACACTAACACACAAACTCACGCACAAAACATACACACACACACCCACACATGAAAATTGGGAAGGGCAAAGAAGACCCCAGACGGAGTCCATCAGGGGGCCAGAGATTAAAACCTCACTCAAGGAAAAAAAGGGCTTGGGGTGAGTATAACACCAGGACACTCCGAAGCGCACACAACCAAAAAATGCTCAGCATATGGGGCCTAGCAAACCTCAGAACAGCATTCCCCACATTTAATAAGGGAAACATTCAGGATCCTGTACACCCTGTACGTTGGCCCAATTGGAGTATGCGGCACCCCTTTGGGAACCCCCTACCCCGTAAAGAAAATAGAGAAAGTGCAAAAAGTTTTTCAACAAGACTAGTCCCCGAGCTAAAAGGGGATGTCCTCGGGGGGGTTAAGAGAAACAACCCCGCATTGGAGGACAGGAGAGTAGGGGGGACATGATAACGACATACAAAATACTGAAGGGGAATTGAAAGGTGGACAAAGCGGGTGTTCAGAGATTGGAACAGTAACAAGGGGCACAGTTTGGGAAACTGAAGACACAGATGAATCACGGGATGTAGGAAATTTTCTTCAGCCACAGAGGGTCTTTAAATGGAAAAGTTTGGGAACGATTGGGAGGCGGATCCTACATACTTTAAGCGAGGGATGGAAAGCTCACGGCTCAGGGAAGTGCCTAGTAGCGTCGTGAAGAGGGGGGCGGGCTCGGATTCCCCCCAAACCTCCTAGGTGGGGAAAAGGGGGGTCACAACCCCCACAACACCACACTCCACACCTCCACCCAAACCATACACACACCCCCCCCCACACAAACACACACAAAAACAAACACCACACACACACACACACACACCACAACACCACACCAAACTAACCAAAATCTCTCCACACACAACACACACAACACACACCACACACACACCACACACACCACACACACACACACCACAACACACACACCCACACACACAAACCACATCAAATTATACACACACACCAAAACACACATCACACACACAACACACACTCACACACAAAATATACACACACCACACACAACACACCACCACCACCCACACAAAAAACAAACCCCAACACACAACACCCAAACTCCACACAAACTCATACTCACACACACACAATTCACACACAACACACCACACAAACACACACCACAAGCACACACAACAACAAAGAGGGAAGCGTGAGGAAAGGTTAAGGGAAATGGACCCCAAGCACTGGAGGGCGAAGGGTCAGGGGAGACATGATAAAGAAAAACAAATACTGCGGGGAATAGCAAGGTGGACAAGATGGGTTTCCAGAGAGGGACACAGGACAAGGGTCACAACTGGAAGCTGAAAAAAGACGAGCACGGGACGTTAGGAAGTTTTCTTCAGTCATAAGTTTTCACAATGGAATAGCCTAGAAGGAAGTAGTGGGGGAGGAACCTACATAGTTTTAAGAAAAAGGTTGACAAAGTCAGGAAGCAGGAGAGAGAGGATCCCGTAGCGATCATGGAGGCGGGGGCCCGGGTAGTCCCCGACCTCTGCAACCAAATTAGGTGAGTACAATTTTGGTGAGTACACATACACACACACACACACACACACAACAAACTCACACATACAACACATACACACCGCACACACCACACACACCACACACACACACCAACACACAACACACAACACAACACACACCACATACCACACCCACACACACACACACCACACAACACCACACACCACACACACACACACCCCACCACACAACACAAGTTACAAGTGGGAAGGTAACAGGAAATGAAGGGGGGCAGGGGCCCAAAATATAAAAGGGGGGGCTACACAGGTATGAGAAACTTCCCCCAGGAGGTTCAGGGCAAAAGAAATGGGGGAAAATCAGTAAAAGAGATGATGGAATATGGGCAACAAAGTGCAAGGGGGCAGAGGAAAGTTTTGTTCCCAAGGGAAACAGAAATAATAGGAAGGGCCAAAAGAGTCCCCTTTGGGTTTTCCCCCGAAGGTGTAGGAGGCAAAAACTAAGTGCAACAGGAATGGAAAGGTTTTCAGGAGGATAGGACCTGGAAAACAAGGGGATTAGTAAAAAGCAAAACGATATCAAGTAAAGGAGGGAGGCCCAGCGACAGTATGAAAACACATGCATCGAAAGCCCAATCTGACCCGAAATCTGTATAGCCACAATAGGAGGGAAAACCCAAAGTCAAGGACCAGGTGATAAAGGGTGGGAAAAAAGTGGGGGAAATCATAAGAAACGACAAAAGGTATTGAGGAGCTCAAAAAAAAAAAATTTTTAAAAAAAAAAAAAA